TTCATATCAATGATAGATTTTAATCTTGAATCGATATTCTAACAGCGATTTAAGCGCTGTTAAAAAGAAAAAAAACTTTTCCCTTATATGGTATTACCACTATAGCTCCCCCGCTTGTTTTCAATCCAAATCGCTGATGCCTTTACGCATCCATATCACATAATATAATATTATAGCTAATAAAATGATTTTAACATGAAATTATTATGGCGTATTTATGTATCCGTAGTCTATAATGACGATATGCATTTATTATGGAGTCAAATTCTGTTGAGATATTATGTGCCAAATATTACGGCGTGGTACACTAAAATTGCTCAACTTCTTTGAACTTGTGCAAGTGTGAAAACCCATCAAAAAATTTATTAAATACTTTCTAGTTTGAATTTGGTTTAAGGACCGTCTCATTCTTGCGCACGCCTTGTTATAGTATGTAACACATTTGACCTATGCACAGACACCGAAAGGCAACCATCCAAAGGCCTGTCACACCAAAGATATACAATGTGCCATTCTCATTCGTAGTATAAATAAATTTTCGATCTGTTGCGGCAGCACAAGCATTAAGTTTCGAATAAAAACCACCTGGGATCTACTTGCCACATTATACTATAATATGTCAATAATACGCATAACACCATATCGTTATGTATACACACCATGTCCATAAAATCTATAAACGTGCTGTTATTCAATGTTGTAACTTTTAAGTGAAAATCAAGCACCGAAAATAATTTACCAGCACCTCCATCTGCTCCCGAAAAAAAGGAGTAAAATCTGGCAATTCACTCAGTATCAGTTACAGTTTTCGCTTTGCGGAGGAGTAAATTTTCCATTCTTGATATGAAACTCACACATACTCACGTAACATTTATAAAGTAGCTGCGGGCCCAATATAAAGTTAGGCAAATCGCATAATTCATGTCTGGAAATGACTGGAATTTTATTACTTGTTTTTTCACGAGTTTCGAATTTTTCGGTCCACAAATCCCACAATATACAGAGAAGGAGTGTGTGTTACACACTTTCACCGCTTCCACTCTTCCTTTCTCTATCGACACCATTTTGTTGAAATATTTGACTCTGTATCTCAAATCATTATTATTATTTCGTTTTTCCAGGCCATAAAAATTTTGACGCTAAATAATTCTTCAGTACAAAAAAATGATTAAAATAGAATTCGATCATTTGTGACCACAACTTAAACTGAAAATTCACATTTTAATGCTATTATGATTCTGTTGGTGCTTAAGTATTGCGTGAAAAAAAAGCATCAAAACATCATCACTATACATTGTAAACACAGGCCAACTGCAAAGCGAAAAGATAACTTGAATGAAACCAAATAAAAAAAAAGTTCAGACCAACATTTTTCTTTATGCAAATCCATTTAAAGTGTTGTTGTTTGTTTGATTCCATTGTTCTCGAGACCGAAAATAAAAACAAGTCATTGTTATTTGAAATGAGCCAAGTCTTTTTTAACGGATTTCAATTGTTGTTAGCCCTTTACGCTTGTGTTGTAAAAGGAGATACCGTTTTTCGGACGGGTACACACGCATTCACAAAATCATCGATGTTGAAAAACTGGTGGCACATTTTTACAATTTATCCCTAGAGACTCATAAGTCTTTTCCATACATCAATCACGCATCTTTCAATATCATTGGATTAGAATGCTTCCAAATGGCACTATTCAATGTTTGAAAGTTTTTGGATAGCTCGTTTTTTTCTTTCTTTGTTGTTCGCTTTCAATGGCCATACTTTGCGAATAATATGAACACCATTTCATGGTTGAAATGAAGATGCTTTTCGATAATAAGTAATTGAATTTCGAAAAGGATACATAAGCTCAAAGCTTAGCAAACAACAATTTCTCATCCTTTAACTCAAATTCAATTTTGCTGTTGCAACAAAGTTTCTTTTTCATCTCATTCGACTCAATGATTTACTCAAAATTATTCGAATTTTCTTCTATTCTATTTGGCGTATAACAATTCCGTTTGCTTGTTAAATTGAAAAAGAATTATCGTTGCAAAATTATTATCGAATAACAACAATTTTCACACGCTTCGATTATATCGGATAACCGAAAGGTAAAAAAAGAAACGGTAATTGTATCGAGATGGCTTCCTTTAAATGAATCGACAAAAAAGTTTTGTTTTGAGAATGAATTATATATGTACAAATGCAAATGGCAAAATGTAACCTTCGAATTAGTCTTGTTTCTATGGCGATATTTCTGTTGTTGACGAGAAATTCAGATGAATGCAGTCGAGCGGAAATGAATTTCCTTCACTGCATTCTGTTTCGAAAAACAAAATTTGCGCATGTTAATGGAAAAAGTTTAAGTTGCCATACAAAAACACACACACGCACAAAGACTTTTTTAGTTTATTTTTATACATATAAAATAATTTCAATGTTTTTTCAACAACAAAAAAAAAGAAACGAGAAAAAAACTGTGAACGTATCTCTTGATTCATCGATTATAGAGGATATTGACAAAACTCGTGTAATGTAGAAAACAATATTCCGGTGTCTGCAGACTCACATATTTCGAAATAATGAATACCTGGAAAAATCTGCTGAGACATCTTCTCAAATTCACGCATTAACAACATCTGCTTCTGCACACGCACACATGCATGCACGACAAAATGGTTTTACTTTGGCATTGCAAAGAAAAGGAGCAGCAAAAAAATGAAATGGATGAAATGGAAAAATCCTGTCATTCAATAGCATCAGTGTAATTTTTTATGCCATTCAATGACAAGTGTCAACAAAGCATTTTAAAATTGTAAAATCGTCGCATTTACTCACTTTTCCCTTTTTGAATTTTCTCATTTTCCAAAATATTCAAGTCATCACAATGAAACACGCGAATTTCAAACGTTATCGGATTGCGTTGAAGATTCGCACAATCGCAAAATATAAATCGAATAAAAACAGGATGGAATAATTCGACAGCAAGGCCAAGTACAGTGAACTTAGGAAATAAAAAAACGAGCCTAATTTAAATATCGTTACAAATAACTCGTGTCGCATTTTGTTACGTTAATGTTAATTTAAGGCGTTTTATACATTTTTTATCGCCTTATTCCTCTCTCGCTCCCTCTCTGTTTGTCTTTCTGTGTTTGCGTTTGCTCTTCTTTCATCTGCGACTTTATGTTGCTAATTCTTTCTCGTTTCTACTTCTTCTTATTCGTGAAGAAGACAACGCTAGACTTGCATAACAGCAAAGTCATTGAATATTCACAGTTTTGTCGTTCTTTGATATTTGCCCTTTACGAACTTTACAAAACCTGCGACAATTTGAATGCGTGAGCGTATGTGTCACTTCGCAACGTTTCGCAGAAAGGAAAAAAATGGAGCTGAACAAAAATTTATATAATTTTTATGCTCATCATCATTGTTGTGCTTTTTTTTCTACGGTCGTTTTGTAAGTCGGAATGCGTGGTAATGAAATGTCTATAAATGAAACGATCGAGATGGAGGCAGGGCATTTCGTGGTATCGCTTCGTTAAATTCGTTGTTGGCCCATTATGGGATTAATTAAATATTTGATTACATTCATATCCCGCTGTTCCGTTGAGGCGGAAATTTTTCAACATGTCTATTGCGGCCTGAATTTACATGTACAAGTACTTCAAGCATATTTTTCGGTAAACACGTTCCGGATGACGTGTTTGCTCATTACCGTCAATTGATTCAAAGGCACTCCGAATGCATCAAAAGTATGGTAAAACTTTTCTTTTCTTTCAATGCGGAAGGTGACCAAAGAGAGAGAGCGACTTCGGATTAATTCAACACTCATCAACACTGGAAAAGAAATAAGCGAAGTGCTCTCAAGAACAAAAAAAAAAACAGTTAGCGCCACTCGGATACGGAAGTAAGAAATTCTGGAATTTAATTTATCGCTTTTAATTATTTCAAACGCTAACTGTCACCATGCACATTTTTCGGCCGCCCATTCGAAAAATTATCATATTACATTGAATGTTACCAGTTTCTATTTGATGGTAGATTACGCGTAAATGGTCGTTGTCGCTTGACTTGGGCCACAACATTTGCTATTCAGACACTAAAAAAGGTTTCGCTTGGTTGCAATTTTACATTTTTTCGATTTGTCCCTAATTGAAACTCTGTTGCGTCGCATAACTGATGGGTTACGCAGCAGGAAGGTAGGCTTATTTTGGGGCAAAAAAAAATCATGTCTGTTTTTTTTTGTTCACGCAAAAGAGACCCATATCTGGAATGGCACCACCTGAGACTTGTTACAATCTCGAGCATTGACCCAAGCGGAGCTTTGAAACGACGTAACATTTTAATGAAACACATTCACGATGAAAGCTTCATACACATAACGCACTATCAAATAAAGAAAATACAAAGAATTTAATCAGAGTTAAGTGTTTCTAACATAATATTTGTCGACATAAATTTTCAACGAGTCGCTTGTATCAATTTAAAATTCGAACATTCTAGAAAGCACTATTGAATTCATTTATCTACTCGGATGATTTTTTTTCTTTCCTGTTTTTGTCCCCCTCTTTCATTCTGATGGTATGTACATACGGTTTAATAGAATTATTCGCAAAAATTTAGTAGGATCAAAGGGAATTTGTGCTGAAGGGTAGTTGTTTTTTTTTCTTTCAATAAATGCTTGTTTAACTAGGTCGCATAAAAAAACTTAGGCACTAAAAGTCATTCATTTAAATCGCAATATTGTTTTCAATTTAATCCGATGTAAATTCCGATTGATTTACATTTGTTGCTTGTTTTTTTGTTTTAATTTCATGTCCACTCAGCAGTAATGAAGCACAAAAAAGTGTATTCAATTCATTTAACCAGTATGGCAAAACAATGTGATATAAAAAACTACTACTAGCTATCCATGAAATTCTATATTCTGTCCTCACAGCAATATAACAACAAGAACTTCAGAGAGAAAAAAATAACAACATAAAATCAAGTGGGATAAAAGCGGATGCAAAACTTACCAATAAAAAGCGCCAGCAGTAGAATGGACGACACAATCGCTGGGAAACACATGATGTCGTTGTTTGTTGAATATGTACGGTTTTTTTTTAAATAATTTTCGTTTGAAAATTGTCTATTAAAAAATATTGCAACTGCGTCCAGTCGAGAGCGGGTAGCTTATGTCTGTCTACAAACTTGTGTGTGTCTATTTGTTATTTATTTCAGACGCAGTTTGCATATAAAGTAGTTTGTGTGATTTGAAATGGCTATAGTTTGGTTGCGTTATAATAGAGTATTTCATATTTTCCACCAAAAACATATAAAATACTTTGAATATACTGATTCTCGTTCCATTCCGTTCGAATTTATCGCAAAATGCTAAAAGTCACATTTGACAGGTTCACAAAATGAAGCAGAACGTTGTTTCTATAGTTTTTTTCCCAAAAATTCTGCACGTTCAAACTTACAAATATTTTGTTTGATGGCAAAATACCGATGTGAATTGCGTTTTATGAATTCTTTATTATCCACCAATGTTGCAAAATGTGCACAGTGACTTTTGTGAGCTGTCTAATTAAGACACCCACTCACCAAAATGAGCAATTGTTGTTTAATTTCGGAGTGGTCGGTTTTGCTTCGACTTCGACGAACAATGTTTATATGTTTCTATTGCTCTCGCAATGTTCCTCCCTTTATTTATCTGTGTCGTGTATCACTTGACCTGTGGTATTTTGATGTATATTCGAATCGTCAGAGGAATTTAACCGCATTCGGTTTACGTTGATGCCTTCACTTCTGTAACATTTATGTGAAATTGCTATTTTCACTCTATATCTCTTTCGACAGCTCTTTACACAGCAATTCAAATGTAGCAAATAAATCTGCGGCTATAATTCTATCTCTGTTCTTCGCATCCGCTTTATAGGTAACTTGAGTCTTTGCAACTAATCATATTAAACAGACAACGAATGATATTTTGTCACAAACAGAAACTGTTTGTTCAAATTTATTGGTATACCGTTTGTCGTTTTGTTGCAAACCAACTTGGAAATGTTTGCCACAAATCACAGCCACATTAAATGCTGCGGCGTTTCCAAAACGATTCTGTGGCTTAAATTATGACATTTATGAAGTTGTTGGCCGATTCATTATAATTCGGTTGTGTTGACGTGTTCAGTATTTGCTTTGATGCTCCGATGCCATGAATGATGTTCAACCTGAAATTTTATGAAAAACAAAATGAAGAAAATCAATCTGGAGAAAATTTTGTTGAAAAGTTTGTAATGTATTTAAATTTGAAATAATGTTTTCACAGTGACAGTGGTGATTAAATTGTTTTCATTGCTTTCATCACAAGATCCATGTTACCGAGAAGAGATCCATTGATTTCAAAATAAATTCGGCACCGAATATTGAACGTTTTAAGCAATCAAATCGTTTTAATTATTATTATACGCATTGCCGTTACAGCATTGAGCGTAACATAAGCGACCAACACCACCTGATCCCACAATCATACCATTTGTATTAACTTCTCAATTTTTCTTCTTCTCCCAGTACTATGTTGTGTTCGACATTTTTCAGCGTTGCTCAATGCTCATAACAATTCAAGTCAATGTTAATTTTGTACCGAACGAAAAAGATGAAAATCTTTGGTAGCTTAATTGGAAATTCCTGTCAAGCAAAACAAAAGAGAGAGAGAGAGAGAGTTCATTGCAACATTTAACTAAAAACATCATCAAAAATGTCATTTGTATAAATTGGATTTGGCAAGATTTTTAATTAGTTTTAAGCATTTCGCCAATGCTACATTTACAACGATTCATAAATGAAATGAAGCTTGGATGGCCGCCGCAATGTTGCGCAAATTCGCTCAAAATTCAAGATGGACGAAAACTTTTGCAAATGCCATTAAAGCTGTTTAAATATCGTGAGCATATCTCGTTTCTCTCTCTCTCTCTCTCTCTCTCTCTCTCCAGTTGGCAAATGTAAAAGAAGTAGTGAAGTGTAGAGAATAAAAAAAGAGCAAATAAATCATGACAGTGCGAATTTTTGCACAACCAAATTCATCAGCTTCAAGAAATTCTTCAGTAAGTCGTGCAGATAAAATTGAAACATTTCGTCAGCAATGCGCTTCGCAGATTGTGGGTCGGACTAAACTTGCCAAAGATAAATGTAAAGAATGAGTAAGTATCGGACTGCGATTCATTCCACAACTTATACTCAGTACACACACTCTACTTAAGATGTTAAATATTTCATATTAAAATTATTTACTTGATAGATTTCGACGCAAAGTGAAGATTTTCATCTCCACATGAATGCGCAACGATAATAAAATTAAATGAAGCACCAAATTATTTTGAAATCAACATTTCAAACTCACGAAATACTTTATTTATTCACATCGTTTTCGAAGGCAACACACATTTTCCACTGACATTGCTTGAATTTGCACAGTACATGAGTATTTATCCACATCATTTCGGTATCAAACGAATCATTTAGATCGAGACATGCATTAAATTTTATTCAGTTTTATCCGAGATTTTTCACGAAAAATTTATTCCATTCATAATTCTCAGCTTAAAAGAATTGCTGCGTTCAAATACCTAAAAACAATCCGATCATCGAGAGAAAAATGCTTTGAAATTAACGGGGGCGCTCAGCTGACGATTCCAAATCAAACTCCAAAGCATGCATGCAGAAAATATATACGGCATAAATTGTGTTTGTTTGAATATTTTTCCACATTTTAAACATATAATTCATGAAATTTCTGGTCCACTTGCTGTCAACTTTGAATAAATAATGGATTAAAACAATTCAACCGTTATTTGTAATTTAATTAAGCAGCTTTTTTACCTTTTCAATAGCCCATCTGGTGGCTGTATCGCGTTTAAAAGCCGATTGAAAACTTTCAATGGCAGTAATTAGATTTATATGTGCAACTTTTTTCCGTCGTCAAACAACCGACAATATTTTAAACAAACAATGTTTCAGAGAAAAAGAAGAAAAATTTAAATATTTTTCATCGAACTTTCGCAAGCATCATCAAGAAGAGTCTAGTGACATTCACAAATATTTATATAAATCTTTGTGATTCTTCTAGAAACGTTTCGGGCTGCAAGATTTTTTTTGCGCTAAAAGCAACTTTGTTTGAACAACTTTTCAATATTAGCTTCATATGATTCTTAATCTCATGACTTGACTATGAAGGAAAATTTTTGGGGAGAACGGTGTTGCGATGTTTTAAACAATCAACAATCAGTTAATATTAGCATGTGAGTTTGACTAAAAAAGTGCCATAAGCTCAGTTTTATATGAATGACCATTGCTTGAATTCAATTTGATAATGTTTTCAGTTTAGAAACAACAAACCGTGTTTGGAACTTAATTTATTTATTATAGATGAGTGAAAGAGAAATCACAGAATCACAAATACCAAAATTGAATCGGTCGATTGAACAAATTGGGCGAATTACCGCTATTTTACCCCATTTAAAAAGGAAATAACAGGCACCGAAGCGTATCCATCATTTGGAAATAACCTTTCTATTTCAGATCAATCATTTTAATTTATCTGTTTAGACTTTTTCGGAAAAAAATAATATTAAAAACACGCAAGCAACACTTTTATCTTGCGTGTGGCATGCAAGGGAAATCATAATTTAACGGAAATGTTACTAAATTGCAGGGAAATGAACTCAAATTCGAACGGTTTTCTTCGTTGGTTTGGGAAAACTTTTACTAGTTGGAAAATACCGACTTGAAATCAAACTTGTGTTGTGTCACAAACAAACATTAAACAAACAAATCATTTTACAAACTTTAAAACCTTATTCAAATGATTGAATTATAAAACATTTTTCGTCAAAAATCTATGATCATAATCAATACATAGGCCATTGGTAAATGGTTTTTCATTATCGAATTTCCTTTTAAGAACTGTTTGTTTCTCACTTGAAATTCGTTACCATTTCCATGCATATATTTAGAGGTACGTCGCTCTCAAGTGAAAAGTTTTTATTTCCAAAGGCGAGAACTATTAACAACATGACGTCCGTAGACGATTTTTTTATTATTTTAAATTGCAACAGACTGTGAGGTGTTGATAACAAACAACTTGTTATTATAACAAAATCACTGTTATTTGAGTGACTCGACAGAATATCATTAAAAATTCAATTTTATAGACAACAAATATTGATAAATTGTTAATCTATCAAATGCCTGTACAATTAAAAAAAGGCTTATGTTATATGCAAGAAAAAAATGGAAGTCTATGTCTACAAATTTCCGTCTCTTCAACTATTTTTCAAGATTTTTTCTCTTCGATTTTTTTAGGGTGATTTTTACGCTTCTATTGAACATGCTTTCACAAAAGGCGATTACGCTGTCAACAACGTTAACAAAAGGCTTTAAAAAGCGTCTAGATGAATTAAATCGTTATCAACACAGGTCAATGGGTGAAATAGCGTGAAATCGTTTACTATTTATTTGACTCAAATCGAAAAAGTGTTGCATCATTCCCGGAATTCATAAATCATAGCGTTCAATTTTTGAAGTTATCATCCTTTTGTGCGATATCCGAACATATAAAATAATATTTTTCATGAAAATTTTCGTCATATGCCGTTGACATTGATGTAGAATGGCAATGTAATGAACGAGTATGCAAAGAAATTGAATTTCATCCGATGAAACAGATATTCAAATACTTTGACATAAACAATAGCGAAAGAGGGAAAAAGGCGCAGAGCAGCCTAGTAAACTAACATGTATAATTTGTCCATAATTCTTGGTGAAAACGATGATATATTTCATTGAATTTGATTTTCCGGCACACGCACTTCACGTATCCTTGCCAATCAGAAAACGGGTTTGATATTGAAAATCGGATTTCACGATTTTTGCGGACAAAATGTGTACTATTTTGAAAATAATTTGAATTGCAAATGGCATTGGCAAAAATTCATTTATCATGGGACAACAATTTTTTGGGGTCAGGAAAATATTGTCAAAAAATTTCCGTATATAATCAATAACGCATTAAGTCATCAATTCATAAATCATGACCAAATGGCCAACATTGTCGAATTTTTGACAAAACATTGGCCTATGATTGAACGAGTGCCTACGCAGATTGAGTGAGTGAGACAAGGAGAGTATATTATAATTAATGTACGATTCCATTGAAATGAATGCTATTGATGAATGTGATGTGTTGCTCTGTTCGCATACCAAACATAATCCCATATAATCGGTCTATTCTGACATGCAATATTGCTTCCGCGGTTACGAACAATGCGAGCATTTAATGAGCATGTCTAAAATTAATATACGCACGTTTTGTTTACCCAAACAACGAACAACCATGAGACTAAACACTGGTTTCGTTGGAAAATGGTTCGATAGAATTGCTATATTAAGGAGTTTTTTTGACATCAGCGATTGGGTTTGCTTAAGTTAAACGAAGCAAAGCGCACGCTTATCAAGGCCATGTAGATACATTTCCTTTTGCAATTAGACATCGCGTGGATGAAAATGCCACATACAGCATAGGTATTTCTATATATTGATGGCAAACCGATTTCAATAAACCATCAATCTTTCAATTGACTATGAGACGGCATTTTGCTAGCCGTCATTCGATTGTTTTCTATCATATATCAATTCGTTTGCATGGAAACAAATATGAATTGTTGTTACATTGTAACTACCCGAAAAATCATTGTGATGGCAATGGTGATGGTGCTGCGCATTTTTTTCTCTTTTTTTATTCATCCATAGTTAATTCGAAAGGCAAACACAATAGGCACACTTCATCGTTCAAACGAAACCTGTGATTTTATTTATTAAGTGACAGCTACTTTGATAAGCAATACATTGATTTTTGTAATGATAGTCTAACCGAGAGAGTACACACTGTAATTTGATTGTCAATCAATCATTCTGTACACAAATGATGTATACTATGCATTATTAACTTGCGATGTTCCATTCTTCTATATTTGCATTTTTCATGAGCTACACTTTTTCACAGCCCAGAGACCGAGATCTTATCGATGGATGAACATTTATTTAACTTTTCAAAATTGGAGATTTTAACCCCTAAATAATTCCAGAAAATATGAGTGATTTTAATAAGTGAAATTACAACAACTCGCTACCAACACACATTTATTGGAACGAGCTAGGCAAATGAATTAAAATTATGTCAGAAGTATAATTCAGATCGTGAGTCATTTCAAAAAGTATCACAGCGATAAATAAATAAATTCAAAATATAAAACGGAAGAAGTGAATTTATATCGTCATCGTTATAAAATGAAAAGTAAAACTCTGGCAAACGGAACATTATTTTTTGTCGTAAACATTTTCGTTCCGTAATAAAATGAAAAGCGGTTTTAATGTTGAAGTATTTTTTTTTCGGTGAGAGAAAGTGTAAAGTTTGTGTGTGTGCCTGAAGGCAATAGCCTCGTGGAATTTGTCGAAGGGATTGGTAATGTGTTCAGGGTGAATTCGTATTATTTTTCAGGCAAACCGATTCAAATCAAAGACACGTCTGTCGAATTCAAGTTTATGATTAAATGATACATTACATGAAACCGCTATTTTATTTGAGAAGCTAGGTTAATTGCAAAACGTTTATAGCTGTGTTTACGCGCTCATGCAAGCATTGCTCGCATGTCTTACTATCTCTCTGTTTCGGCTTCTGTTTCATTCGCTCGCACGAAGTTTGTGGACATTTTAATTCCAATCGAAATGGAAGCAATGCGAAAGTCCCCCTCTCATCCGTTTAAAATAGTTAAAACTTTTTTTACGATCGATACTCTCGTTCAATCTTATCTAAAAGCTCCGTAACAGCTCTTCGAGCTATTTAACAAGAATTTATCGTTTTATTTACGGTTTTCAGTTTCGTTACACGTAGTACTTACATGAAAGAGAATATTCTTTTAAATGAAATATAAATCAAATTAAAATTCACAACATTACAAATTAATGAAGGAAAGTTTTGTACAAAAAAAATAAATGATTTTTTGTTCATAAAAAATTGTGAAATGTTACTTACTTTTACGTTATTCGCTGGCAGTATAAAATCTATTTTCTGCTATAGATTCAATTTCGTTGTAATAGATCAAAAAGTAATTGGTATCAATGTTGGCCCAGCAAATAGTCTATTTTTTACTTCGCTCAACAATGATGTTTTAATCGAATGGCTAAATATAGTCAATGGATGCCAGTTGTAGATGTTCGAGTAAATGATGCAAGCAATGAATCGAACAAAGCTGAAATTAGTGGTTGGCATTCACGTACACAAAAGGGTCAGCCACTGAATTGTTTGCACACTTATGGTTTAATATCGTAAAATTTCCCCACGAATATATCTACCAGAAGTACTTAAATTGTGGCCTGAACTCTGCTTCTAATTAATCCATAAACCATAAGCTTTGTATTTAATCCATTAAAATCATGGAATTATCCATAACACCAAAAAAATATATATGATATTTGACCAGAGCAAACAGTGAGAGCAAGAGCTGTATATTGTTTCTGTTTGCTATTATTACCGCTGCCGTTGGCAATAGGAAATGACACAATGGATCTGAAGATTTTCAACAACAGACACAGCAACCAGTGCATACAGTTCACGTGCGTTACCGATTTTCATTAGATACGTTACTGTTTCAGCTCTTTCCTATTCATTTCACAATCACAAAAATGTTCATTTTGGTTGTCTATTGTCTTTCTGGTTATTTATTGTTCTTGCTTATTGTGTCACTTGGGGTTAATGGCACCGGATATGTTCACACACCCTCACACAGAAATACGACAAAAAGAAAGAACAATATGAAATCATACATATATCGATGACGTGATTCAAACCTTCTGCTGTGTTATTCGTTTGAATGAATGCTCATTCATTGACATCCAGTGCGCATAAATTCAAGACAGTCAAAAAGCATAATATTCTAGTCAGGCAAAAATCGATCCCTTTTTTTTCGCGTAGAAACACAACAAAAGTTCTGCCTCAACGATTATAATTTAATGCAAAAAAATTGTCACCAGTTCAGTCACACACGCACAACAACAAAAATTATTATTTTCGATTCCCCCGGAATTTTAATCATATCACGTAGAATGCGAAACACTCTTCCTTTGAATTATTTTCTTAATCGTCAAAGTAGATGTTTTCTACTTTATTTTGTTCAAACCAATTCGAATGCAATTGTTTTGTTAAGGAAATGGTCTATTTTATTTACGATATGCTTGAAAATGCACGCAAAATGTATTTTTCTTATCACTTAATACACACTGTATTTTCACACTCGACACAATTTAACCCTTTTCTTTGCGCATTAAAATGTTTCGTTTTTTTATTCTCTAACTTATCTACTGGTAGGCTTTGGTGTTTACAGTTTGATTTACAAATCACACATTTACGGCAGACTTGTATTTTTTTGGGTGTGTATATCTTTTCGAAGAAAAAATAAAACAAATATTTGAGTTCGTGCGTTTCACTATTCAAACACAAAGTTTACATTCACATGTCAATTGTCTGGGTTTATTTTGATCGAAATAGACAGATAAAGAGATTGATAATTTTTGTTTTCTTTGGTTTTGTAGACAAAGTCACAGTAACTAAAGAGCTATTCAATGGAACTAAAACAACATTCTAAACTGAACCTTCCACTCTGTTTGAATTTTCAAGTTGATCCGTCAGTTAAGGTGGCCTTTGCGGACGATGAATTCTTTTGCATTCGCCTTTTTCAAGTGCCAAGATACAACTGAACGGAATCAAGCAGCGTGAACGGTTACAAATGTGTAACTTTATGCGATGTATGAATTTTGTGTTTGAAATCCATTGGAATGCCAACCCCTGAAATTGCGGCAACTGGATTATCCATCTCCAATGTGGAGAAGTTATCAACGTGAACATATTCGGTAAAGTCATAATGCGGCGGGGAAATGACTGGAATCACGTCACGTTTCTTACAACATATACGAGAAATTCAATACAAAGATCGAAAGGGACGACTATGTTGCTATCGTCGATTTCAAAAATGTGGTCAACAGTCATGCGCATAAAATATTCACGTTTCATATATAGAAATGAATCCAGAAAAGAATCACTTTAACTCAATATTGAACAAATGAAAAACGTAAATAACATGCCAAATTCAAATTCACTTAAGTAAGATATAGTATTCCTCCACTTGATGGTGAATTGCCTTCACTAGAGCAGAAAAAGAGAGCAAATATGTAACGGAATGCATTAAAGCACCCCGTGTGTGTGTATATATGCATGTATATCAAACAGTGATACAGATTACAAGAGCGGCGTATTTGTATCGTACAGACTCACATCACTATCCTCGTAATTGTAGAACAATCCGTCGTATTTCCGAGAGATGGAAGGAGAACATCACAGCGATACAGATAAAAACGAAGAAAAGTATGTAGAGTAGGTCAGTGATGCGTTTTGTATCACAATGCATTCTGATATTGATATGCCAATGTTTAATTTGATTAAATATGTATATACGTAGATTTATGTTGTGTGGAATTGATAAATGCGAGAACAAGTAGTTATTTCATTGTATCTATTGAACGTAATGAATATATGGATGTGGGTATAAAAAGGTTTTTCATGTTCAAACTTTCATTTTTACTGGAAAAAAGCTAACGAACATAATACAATTTAACTAATGAAGAAAAAAGAAAAGAACAATTTCATTTGTTATATGGAGCATGATCAAGCCTCCTGATCTTAATGGTGGTGTGGATTTTTTTAAAAGTACCATTGACATTCACTTGAAAAATATTAAAATGGAAAAAGTTAATTCCATTTGGCACATGAAAGGGACCGTCTCTGTGGACAGCAAATAAGGTCTTTTGTTTATTAAGGACAAGTGAATTATGGGATGGGTAATCTTCAAATCAATATATCCTCGGGGGATTTATTTTAAATGACACTCGGTAACATGTTTTTAAAATACGACCTTTTAAAGCTATAAAATTATATTTTATCATTAAAGTTGGAATGTAAATGATCAAATATTCATATGATAAATAATAAAAATAAATAATTCTGTATAACTTTGTAGTATTTGTTCGAATTGAACGATCTGGTAAAATCTAAATATTGTGCTGCCTAAAAATGGTGTACGTGACAAATTTATTTAAACAAAATTTTCTTCACATTAATGGAAGTCCAAACAGACACGCACAATGCAAACAGATTTTTCCATTGTAACATCAATAAAAATAGAACACTTACGCCCGTCATTATTGATTTCATGAAATCATTTAAACATACGATTTCAATATAAAGGTTACAAATAAAATATATAATTGCCTATACAGTTATTCCAGCGAAAAGAAGTGGAAAGAATCTAAATCTAATATGCATTGTTTTTTTTATCAAATTCTTTAGCAAATAAAAAAAAATATATATGTCATTTTCTTATCCATAATGTACCCGAGTGAAAAATGGCATTGAATTTTTCAATGCATAGTGTCAAACGGCATTTAAGCAATAAATCGACACCGCATGGCTATAGCGATGTGGTGTATGCACTCAACGTGCGCACGGACCATGCGGTCTCGATTTATTGCTTAAATGCCGTTTGACACTACGCATTGAAAAATTCAATGCCATTTTTCACTCGGGTAATACACTTTAAGTTTATTGAAAATATCGAGAGGAGAGTATGTTTTTATTCAGACATTACTCAGCTATAATCGCTGAATAACATACTCTCTTCTCGATATATTCAATAGATGTATACTCTCACAATCATTTTATCCAATTGACTAAATACAAGTACAAGTATAATCAATTAATTACAACAACAACCAGTTTATTTAAATACAATGATATTCAAATAGATTTATTTGATCGATTATTATCGAGAATATTTACCTATAAACAAAATAACTTATTTGTTTTACACATAGGACAAGTATAGTTGTCAGACATTGAATGGCGCTGTATCTATCCTATAAACATCGAACTAATGAAAATGTGTGGTGGTTCATGTCTTATTTAATATACAATAGTGGAAATTTATCCAATGCACAAACCATTTCTTCTAGTTCCTCACCATTTCTTCTAGTTCCTCTTACATTAGTGTAGGGGGATTCTTCTAAAGTTCAGAGAATGACGTTTGCATATAAATACATGTAAAAGACACTTTTAGGCTCGTCCTATGGTTTTACAGTTACAGTGTTTATTGGACAGTCAAAACTCTATCATATAACAGTATGATTTGAAATCAAATGATAATGCGCAGTAATAACTTACAGTAAGACAAATACCTGATAATTTTGTTGCTCTTTTTATATGATTTTTTTTTTTCAAAGAGAATCAATAGCAAACTCTTTGTTTGGAATTCAAAACTTTTTATTAATTGAACAGCCTTATTGACGCAGTTAGCGCCATTGTAGCTGTTATTATTACAGAGTCGAAACATAGCAACTGATTATGACTATAGCAGTAATGTGCGAAGGGGGGTAGGGGGGGTTTACCCCCCCCCTGTGATTTGGATGAGAATTTTTTTTTCTTAAATTATTCGAATTTGCTAGGGTTTTTCACGAAAAAAGTGAAGACCTTTTTTTTAGCTCTTCACTTTGTTTGGCTGAGAAAATTCTTCCGATTCGCTAGGGCTTTTCGCCTCAAAAAGTGACTTCCAAAAAAAAAAAACGATTTTATTGTAATTTCCTGAGGTTTTGCGCGGAGAAAATTCTTTCGATTTGCTAGGAATTTTCGCCAAAAAAGTGAAGTGCAAAAAAAAAAAAAAGAAACGAAATTTGTTGTTCAGATGAGAGAATTTTTAGTTTTTGAAAAATCAACCCCCCCCCCTGTACAATGTAGCTCGCACATTACTGGACTATAGTAACGTCGGAACAATTGTACTGTCAGTAAAAAATGCGAATGTTTGACAAAAAGTCGTTTATTTTGATTCTCTTTTAGACAAATATTTGTTCAAATAAAACTCCACGCAAAATATTGTGCACAAAAAACCGACTGAGTCTTCATTTGTATTACAAATTGCGTTCTGTAAAACATATATAGTAATAAATCTACCTCAATCAAAGTGCTGAACTATTCACACTCTGAGTACATAAAAATCGATTACTCTCTGACAGCATTAACCGCAAAGTTCAAATATATATGGAAAATTGGGCCTGAAAATTGAGAATTTTTCACTGACACACACACACATTAACACACACACAATATATATTTGTGTTTTCATGATGATTATGAATAAATTCAAAAAAATGTTTGTGAATCGAACGAAAAAACGAACAAAATCCAATCATAAAATAGCATTTGGCAATTTTATGCAAGCAATGTGAAAGAAACAGTTCTGCTCAAATCCATTAGATTCAAAATTTGAAGAAGAGGAACATATGCTTTCGATTTCAAAGAATCGATTCAAACAAATATCCGCCTTATTCAAACGAATCGTGTACAAATATAGTATCACCTATTTACATTGTTAAAATCTATATGATTAGAATTTAAAAATTTGGCCAATTATTACATTTTACAATTCTACTGCGGAGTTTATTGTTGCAGAGACAACAGAAGGTGTTTATTTTTCTTTTTTAGGAATTCTGTATTTCTGCATAAATTGAATTACCTACGACTTTAAATCAACAAGAATTTCACACGACTTGGACAACAATAGAATTCTATGAAACCAAGAAAATATTTGATCAATTGGTAATGCTCAAATATAATTCGCTCCATGTCGCCTAAATGATTTTATCTCATTCGAAATCGTATAAATACGGGGATTAATTTAGAAGAAAGCATCAGTTGAATTGAAGAATTTGTACAGATTATTTCAAAGAAAAGTAGAAATTTATTCAATTTTTGTGTTTGACAAAAGAAGAAAAATGAAGTACGTTCTGGCTTTATTTTTCGTGTTTGTCATCGGTTCGGCATCTTCACGAAATAGCTGTTTCGATACCTGTGGTCAAATTTCTCCCAAGGATATTGCAAACTTGATTACTGAAAAGAACGTTGACATACTATCGGTTTTGCAACAATTTGGTCCAAGTCTTGGTGTCGATCCTGCTGGTGCTAGTAATTTGTTCAATGATGTATTTCCAAGTGACCTCTCCGTTGATGTTTCATCGCTTTCCAAAGCAATTTCGCGCTTCAAAACACCTTTCACAAATCGAATGTTGTTACAATTGATTGGTGACACAGCAAATTACGCAGTTAATTTGCCCACAAATTTGCCACATTTAGAGGAATTGGCACCAGACGCTCCAACTATTTTGAAACAACTAAGAAACTTAAGTGGAAATGGAAATGTACCAGTTTCAAATATCATAAATAACATTTTCTCAACATCAAGTAATGATTCACCAAATGGCAGTGACCATAATGGTTTGTTCGGAAATATTCAACACATTTTTCAGGCAGTCAGATCCAGAGTTGGACATGGGATTTCCGATATTGGAAATCGCATTTCTGGAGATTCTTCCCACAGCGCAAGATCCTCATTTGGACTACCCGGATTTGGTGGTCAAATATTTGGAAATCTTGGTAATTTAATGCCAGGCTTCAGTAGTGATGGTGGCACTCTTGGAATCGGACTAAACGGCATTTCAGGCACTCAAATGCCCGGAGGAAGTATTAGTAGTGTGATTGGCGGAATGTTCCCGAGCGGAGCTTCAATCGATGCATCAACACTTACAAATTCAATCTCTGGTACATCAACCCCAACAGTGCGTACTTTGTTACAAA